GGGTGGGGGGCGGGGGAAGAGTGCAATGGGGGGATAAGGACACATATGTAATACCTTAATAAAACAAAACAAACAAACAAAACAAACAAAAGAGACTAGAGCGGCAAATGATCTCCAAACGCTGGAGGACATGGCGATTATGCAGGAGGCTGGGTATTTGGAGCCAGGCAGGGGGAGAGGGCGTGCAGCCTTCTGAACCTTGTTCGCACAACTAACTCCCTCTTCCCTTGTGGAGAAGAGCTCCTCGCGGGAGGCTCTGAGCCTCAGGGATCAGCACTGGCAATCCCGCTGTAACGTGATAATGAGGATGCTCCCCTCCCCTCTCAACAGTGCCAAACCCTGGGTTGGGGCGCCTCTGTGTTGTGATGACGAGTGGTTTCACTTGTAGGGAGAGTTAGAAAATCAGAGTGTGTGGGAGGAAAGGGCAGTGCATGGCGCACACGGGACAACACGCAACGATGCGGGCTGTGGGGTAAATAGGAGTCATGCTGCAGCCCTGAGACCTGTCTGCTGGGTCAGCTGTCCTCGGGAAGCTGAGATGAACTCGGTACTCACAGGACAAGGTGTGACGATGTGGGATGGTGGGGCTCGTTTGGGGAGGTGATTTTAGGGAAATCCTGCAGGCTAGGTCCTGGTGGCTTGGTGGAGTGAGAGCGTCTGTTAGTCTTCTCACCGAGACGAACATGTGTATTGTGTGACAGGGCAGCATTGCTGGTCTCCTGCGGGATGTCTCCCTTCCCTGGGCCTTCAGTGCTCAAGCCAGCCTTTCAGACAGCCCTGGGCTGCAGCGAGAGCACTGTGGGCAGAGGCCACAGCTTGGATTCTTGCCTCTAGGAAGGCCTCACTGCAATCAGCCAGGTGGGGTCCTGGCCCGCAGGAGGCATGGACTGGAGGTCTGACAAATAGTACTGGCGTGAAAAGGCTATTACTTTCCTTCTCTTTTCCATGGTGGAGAAAAGAACTTTTCTTCTTGTAAAGAGGGAATTCTGCAGAGGCTGGAGTTAGACCACAGCACAGTTTCCCCTTGAAGGCATCCGCTTTTGTGCCTGCTGCTCTCTCTGACCTTGCTTTTCCATTCCTCAGAACAGCACAGAACCCAAGAGTTTGCCTTGAAACTTGTTTAGTCCGGACTGTGAACTGGTTTTTTTTTTTTCCATTGGCTGGATGTTTCTGGCGGTGAGTAAATTATTTATTTGTCAAATCTGTCACCTAATAAAGCAGCACTTACTTTCTAAGACTGATGACTCTAGCGTGCCAAATAGTACCTAGGGGTTCCAGCTTCTGCCAAGACAAAGAATGGTTTAGGAGCTATGGGAATTTGGCCAGTCCTGTCAGCCTTACCTCCAAAATAGATCCCCAGTTTGTCTTGTTAGCTCCGGTCTATGCAGCTACCATTCCGCTTGGACAGACCTACTTTGTCTGGATTGTTGTAATAGCATCTCAGCTGACCTCCCAGTTCTACCTTTGATCCCCCTCCAAGCCATTCTCCAGTCAGAAGCCATGGCATTGTATTAGTTTCCTATTGCTGCTGTAGTAAGTTACCACAAACGTAGTGGCTTAACGTAACATAAATGTATTCTCTTATAGATCTGGAAGCCCAAAGTCTGAAATCATGTTTACTGGGCTAACATCAGGGTGTTGGCAGGGCTGCCTTCCTTTTAGAGGTTGTAGGGGAGAATGGTTTCCTCACCTTCCCCAGCTTTAGAGGCTGCTTGTATTCCTAGCCTGGTGGCCCCTCCCTATTTTGATCTCTGCTTCTTTTGTCACATCTGCTTTACTGAGTCTGACTCTCCTGCCTCCCTCTCATAGGGATCCTTGTAATGACATTGGACCCTCTTGCATAATCCAGAAGCATCTCCCCACTTTACGGAAAAGGTGCTATTAGTCACTCTTTGTTCTCAGGCTGCGAGTTAACTTCTAGGATGTAGGCACATATATGTTGTTCCCAAGAGCATAATAAATGAAACTTATCCCTGCTTCCCTTACAGATCAGAAGAGAGTTCTTGATGTGGTCTAGATCTCACTAGCCCAAGATTTGGATTGACCAAAATCTATGGGTAGTACAGGCAGTAAGGAAGATGTAGAGAAAGCTAACAAAAACAAAGAGCTATATTAAAGTGTTGATTTATTGATTGATTACCAACTACCCAGAGCTAGTCTGTCCCCATGTAAAGTTCAATCATTTCCCAACAAGAATTAGCTATGATTTCTCAGCTGGCCTTTGTAAAAGATGTCCTAACAGATATGCCTATGTCGTAGATATTCATGGCTCTTTCGTTTCAGTTTGACTAACATATGTTGAGCACCTATGATGTGTAGTCACATTCGTAAAGACAAGTGCATATAGGAGCTATGAAGGTGGAATAAACTAATTGTGACCCGGAGACACTGAGGTGATATAGCGGGGACCATATTTTTGCATCTAGAGGTATTGGGAAGTAAGAGAGCCAAGTAGGAGGAATGGTGTAAAGAATGACCCAGGAATTGGAGGAGAAAGGTGTTTGAAGTGGCAGCAAATTGAATGGGTTGGATGGAGCAGAGTAAGCATCGAGGAATGCTAGGGAGGAAGTCGGACTCATGTTGTGGACTCTGAAGACCAGGCTGAGGCGTTTACTTTGTTCTGTGTATAGTAAGAAATAACTGAAACTTGTTAAACAAAGTGACAGCATTCCCTATTATTTATAACAAAATATAAGGAAGAGTTAGCAGTATTTTTAAGGTGCGACCAGTATTTACCATCTGTGTTCCTGAAAGAACACATTTCCTCCTTTCTGGGAAAGTACTGTAAGCTTGTGTACAAAAGAGTGTATTCCTGAACAAACACAAGAAAAACAGGATTGTGTTACCTGAAAGGTTACATTTTGCTCTTTTATGTTCCACGGAGTTTACAAGAATGACAACAGAATGACTGTGCATGGTTAAGATGAATGATTTAGATAGAATGTTTACAAGAGCATGAACAAAGGAAAAACTTTAAAAAAAGCAACTACATTCTAGCTAAAAAATGGCATTGTGGTAACTTTATCAACTGATTTCAAAATGAGAGCCTGGAATTAAATTTAGGAAAGCCATATTTCCTAGAGTTGTAGGAGCACTCTGACCTTTGAGCTTATATTGAGTACTAGCTCAGCCAATTAATAGCTGGGTGAGCTTGGGGAATATGCTTTTCTTTCTTTAAAAAAAAATTATTTATTCATTTATTTATGTATTTATTAGAGAGAGAGTAAGGAAGAGGGAGACAGAAAGAGAGAAACATCGATGTGAAAGAGAAACATAAATAGTCTGCCTCCTGCACACTTTTTACTGGGGATAGAGCCTGTAACCCAGGCATGTGCCCTGCTGGGGAATCGAACCGGTGACCTTTTGCTGCATGGGATGATGCTCAACCAACTGAGCCACTGGTCAGGGCTGCTTTCTTTTCTAAGCCTCAGTTTCCTCATCTGTAAATGGGCATAACAGTGTTAACCACCTTAGTGGTTTGTTGCAATTAAAAGTTTAAGTGCTTAACATGGTCTTATTTTGTTCATAATAAAACTCTTAAAAGAGTCATTTGTCATTTTCACCACAATACTTCCCTCCCATTTTTAAATAAGACTTGACAATGAAAAAAGAATGATTTTTCATATTTTGCTTCCCTATTCCATTAACTTAGTATTTTAAGTTTTATAAGGAACAGATGGTCCTCATTATTCATGGATTCTGTATGTGTGAATCCACCTGCTTGCTAAAATTTATTTGTAACCCCCAGATCAATACTTGTAGCACTTTCATGGTCATTCATGGACACATGTAAAATTTTAAAAAAAATCGACTTGTCTAATGCCCATGTTCTCAGCTGAGGCCAAACAAAGCAATACTCTTTCTTCTCATTTCAGCTATTATTTTGTAAACAAATGCCCTTCTCCATGTCTATTTATTGCCATGTTCTTTGTATTTTTATGTTTTTTTTGGGCTGGCAATTTCACTTTTTAAAATGGTCTCCAAAGAGAATGTTGAATTGCTGGCTAGTGTTCCTAAGGGCAAGAAGACTGTGATGTACCTCATGGAGAAAATATCTGCATGTAAATAAGCTTCGTTTAAGCATGAGTTATAATGCTAGAACTGTAAGTCC